CCCTCTATTCGTGGTTCGAGATGTGTGGTCTTTGATGGCAGAAGAGGCTAGGAAGGGAAGAGGGGAGAAAAAAAAGGTGCAGGAGGGGGCAGATAAATGGCGAGATAAGGAGATGAAGAAGAAAGAGAGGGAAGACTAAAGGAGGAAGAAATGGGAAAAGGGAGAGATGGAGAGGAAAGCGAGGAGATAGAAAAGGGAAGGAGAGGGTGACCAAGAGGAAGAAGAGAAAGGAGATAGAGTAAACAATGAAAATAGGGATCAGGAAGATGAAGAGGAGAGCGAAAGATGACGAACAGATAAGGGAGAACAGGAAAATGACAAAGAAAATTTATAAGAAATGAGAAAAAAATATTGTTAATTAGTACAAAAAGTATGAACAGATGATAAGTAACTGATATTGAATTATAAATCCCCTTTGAAAATAAAAATACAGAAATATATATAAAAAATTACCCCCACCCTTCCAAAAGATAATAGAAACAAATAAAATAAATAAAAAAAATGAAAAGAGAATAACAAAGAAAAACGATTGAAACGAAAGACAGACACCTTAAAAACCCGAGCAAGTTCATCAAGAATACAGATCATTGAGATGGACGTAGCAGATAGATAGCTCTGAATGCACTCTGCATGATCATTAGGCAGACGTCTGTGACACGTAAGGTGCAGACAGGTATGGAAGACAGGAAGGCGGAGCAATAGAGGCAGAGAGAATAGTAATTTGGAATCGTAAAAGGCAGATATAAACTTATTTGATAGACAAACTAAAAAAAAAAAATCTTATTGATAAACAAACAAGAATCGATTCCAAAGCCATACAAACGGAATCGAAATCCCTACTCCTCACTATACATAGACCTTACGTTAACATATCTTCTTCTTCTCCTTCTATTTACACCTTTATTTCGAAGATGACACGCCACGCCAAGAGCTAGAGGACCCAGGAAGTAGTGAAGATGACCCTCACGTTCCTCGCGTCCATCTCCACCGCTTTGCTTTGTATTTCTCACTGTCTTCCTGTTCGTTCCATTTTTTTTTCCATACGCTCTTCGACCTTATTCTGTCCTCTGGTTTCCTGTGGCCAGTTTGTTCGTATTGTTTTTGTAACTATTTTCTTTGATTTGATAGAATTTAAAAAACAACAATAGAAAACTATTGTTGTTTTTTAAATTCTAAACATTATCATTATAGTAATTGTTACTATTATCATGATCATTATTGCTATTATTATTGCTGATGTTATCATTATTGTTATTATTATTGTTATTACCATCATTGTTATCATCATCATCATCATCACGATTATTGCTATTTATTACCATTATCATTATCCTTTTTATTTTCATCATTATCATCATTATTATTGTTGTTATCATTATCAATATCATCAACAATGTGATTATCATTATTAATGTTATTCTTATCATTACCATAACTATTATCTTTATTGGTGTTATCATCACCATCATTGTTGTTGTTGTCATTGTTGTTAGTGGTGGTAGTGGTGGTATTTGTTATCATCATTATCATTACTATTATTGTCATTTTCTTCCTTTTCATTTTTACTATAATTACTATTATCATTATCAGTATTGTTACTGGTATACCCTTGCTGCCCGTACATGTCTTATTTTTTCTTTCTTTCTTCTTTCTCTCTCTCTCTCTCTCTCTCTCTCTCTCTCTCTCTCTCTCTCTCGTCTCTCTCTCTCTCTCTCTCTCTCTCTCTCTCTCTCTCTCTCTCTCTCTCTCTCTCTATCTATCTCTCTTTCTCTCTCTCTCTCTCTCTCTCTCTCTCTCTCTCTCTCTCTCTCTCTCTCTCTCTCTCTCTCTCGTCTCTCTCTCTCTCTCTCTCCTCTCTCTTCTCTTCTCTGTCCGTCTCTCTCTCTCTCTCTTCTCTCTCTCTCTCTCTCTCTCTCTCTCTCTCTCTCCTCTCTTCTCTCTTCTCTCTCTCCTCTCTCTCTCTCTCTCTCTATCTATCTATCTATCTTTTTCTCTCTATCTCTCTATCTATCTATCTCTGTCTCTATCTTTATACTTTGTCCCACTCTGATATCTCATTAATCGAATTGATAACTCGTTACTATGTCGTTTTAAATCTGAAAATGATCAAATAAAACAGACGATATTGCTGTGGTTTCCCAGGAGGGTTTTTTTTTTTCCTTAAATTTTATCAATGACATGATTCTTTTGCTCGAAGTGACGAGTTCTTCTAATCTTAACTTTACTCTCGTAATTCTCCCGTCCTTCTTATCTCCGTCTCAGAGGAACTGTCAGCTGTTATCATTTGCTTTTGTGTTTCTTAACAATTGTCTTTTGGTGTTTCCAATTCCTCTGCGTATTTAATTATTATCATTGATGTTTCTCTCCAGAACTGCAGTTGACACTTTAATTGCATTTTTCTTTTTTTTTTGTAAGTTTTTTGTCTGCTTTTGTCTATTTTTTGTCTGTTTTTGTCAGTCTTTTGCCTGTTTTCTCTGTTTTTTTCTTACTTTCTTTTTTTTTGTCTCTGAAGAACTGTCACTGTTGTGATAATGTTCACTGCGATCTATTTGGGAATCGTCTCTGCCACTGACATTTCCACGTCGTTCTCAGGCTCCGCAGCACCCACGTCGGCGTCTGAGTTAATAGCTCGCCTCCAGTCACGCACCGTCTTCACTCTCCTTTTTGGGATAAAGTTCTTCCTGGCAATCCCCCCCCCCCTATCCTTCGAGTCACCCTCCCCCTTCCCTCCCCAATCACATCCGCCTTTGTCCCTCCCACGCCACCCCCCTCCAGCACCCCTTTACTCTTTCGGTTCTGCCCTTGCTTAGCTCCTCTTCCCTCGTTCGTTACCCCTGTTGCATTTCTCCCTTGTTTCCTGGTATCCTTCTCCCTTACTCCTATTACTCTTTTTTGTAGATTATATATCCTTTGCCCCTTATTCTCTTGTTTCTGGTATCCTTCTCCCTTACCTCTATTCCTCTTTTGTAGATTATTATCCTTTGCCCCTTATTCCCACGTTACCTTCTTATCACCCTTTCCCTTTACCCTTGTCACCCTCCACCTTTACTCCCTGTCAATACCCCCTCTTTAACCCTTTGGCTATCTCTCTCTCTCTCTTTACCCCTTGTCACCCTCCCTTCAACCCCCCACCCCTCCACCTTCCCTTAACTCCCCACACCTCCCCCTTCCCCTTATTACCCACCACCTTCCCCTTAACCCCACCGCCCCCCCTTTCCCTTATCACCCACAACCTTCCCCTTAACCCCCACCCCTCCCCTTCCCCTTATCACCACCCCGTCCCCTTAACCCCGCCCCCACCCCCTTCCCATTATCACCCAACTTTCCCCTTAACCCACCCCCTCCCCCTTCCCCTTATCACCACCACCTTCCCCTTAACCCCCCATCACCCCTCCCTCCCCTCCCCTTCCCCTTATCACCCACCCCTCCCTTAACCCCCACCCCTCCTCCCCCTTAACCTCTTACCACTTACCCCTCCCCCTTCCCCTTAACCTCCCACCCTCCCCTTCCCTTATCACCCACCACCTTCCCCTTAACCTCCCACCCTCCCCTTCCCCTTATCACCCCCACCTTCCCTTAACCCCCCACCCTCCTCCCCCCTTAACCTCTTACATTACCCCCCCCCTCCCCCCCCCAACTTCACACCGCCAAAGGGCTAGCGACAATCTCCCTTGACGACAATACAGGTGTAGGTGGGTGTTCCGGAGGGTAGGGGTAGGGGGGGTAAGGAGGATGGGGGAGAGGGGTGGCAGCGCTATCTTTGTGTTAACTTATGAGCAGGGAGGGGGGAGGGGGAGGTAGAGGGAGGGAGAGGGGGAAGGGGGGAGGGAGAATACGAGGAAAAAGCAAAGACCGGGAGAGGGTAGAGAGACTGCGTGGGTGGGGGGGTGGGGGTGGGAGTTAGGGTTAGGAAACCATCAGATGTTTTAAGCGTGAGAAAAAAAAGAGGGAGGGGGTAAAGGAGAGAGGAAGAGAACGAGCGAGCGAGAGAGAGAGAGAGAGAGAGAGAGAGAGAGAGAGAGAGAGGAGAGAGAGAGAGAGAGAGAGAGAGAGAGAGAGAGAGAGAGAGAGAGAGAAGAGAGAAGAGATAGAAGAGAGAAATAGACAGAGAGAGAGAGAGACAGAAACAGCCACAGACAGAAAGACAGGGAGACAGAGAGGAAGAGAGAGAGATATATAGACAGAGAGAAAGGGAGAGGAGGAGAGAGAAGGCGAAAGAAGGAGAGGGAGAGAAAAAAAGAAGAAGAGAGAAGGATAAAGAAGTGGAGAGAAGGAGAGAAAGGAGAGAAGGAGAGGGAAGAGAGAGAGGAGAGAGAAGAGAAGGGAAGGAATGAGAAGAGAGAGAAAGGAGAGAAAAGGAGAGAGAAGGGGAAAGGGATGAGGAGAGAAAAAAGAAAAGGAGAGAGATGCACAGAGAAGGGGAGAGAAGAAGAGAGAAGAGAGAGATGGATAGAGAAGGGGAGAGAAGAAGAGAGAAGAGAGAGAAGGGGAGAGAAGAGAGAAGAGAGAGAGAGAGAGAGAGAGAGAGAGAGAGAGAAGAGAGAGAGAGAGAGAGAGAGAGAGAGAGAGAGAGAGGAAGAGAGAGAGAGAGAGAGAGAGAGAGAGAGAGAGAGAGAAGAGAGAAAGGAGAGAGAGAGACAAACAGACAGGCAGACAGACGGACAGAGACACAGACAGAAACAGACAGAGACAAATATATAGAGAGAGACTCGACATCCCAAGGGTGTGCTACAAATCCAACCCCAATAAAGGGACCAAATATAAGGGTAATTCGACGTCTAGATCTGAGAGAGGTTAGGGGAGGATGGGGGTAGAGGGGAGGGAGGGAGAGAAAGGGAGGCAGAGGGAGGGAGGGAGGAGGGGTAAAGAGTAAAGGAAGGAAGGGTGGAAGGGAAAATGGTAGAGGAGGGAAGAGGACAAATGGTAGGGGAGTGAAAGGAGGAAAGAGGGGAAAATGGTAAAGGAGGGAAGAGGAGAGGAAGAGAGGAAGAAGGGGAACG